GTCTGATTTGAATAAGGTGGGGGGGGGGGGCTGGTTGACCTTTTGACCTTTACATTTTCATAAATATCTTCAAATCCAAAGCAGCACAAATGAAAATTTTTGCTGCACAAACGTAGCACAAACGTTTGACGCTAATTTTGTCTGACTTGAAGAAGGTGGGGGGGCCAACTTCACTCAGGTGAAGAAAAAGGCCTCAGAAGAGGCAGATGTATCCCAGAATGCTTTGCGCTGAGAGCTCCCCCTCGCAAAGCATTATGGGATTTGCCATCACAGTAGCCCGCTGTCGCCATAGGCTGCTGCTACAAGACAGCGGTGCCTAATAACAAAGATGGCGCAGGCAGCGTGCAGTGGAGGAGGAGTTCCATTTCCAGTGGGGAGTTAAGAGCAGAGATCATCTGTCCCAACGGTCAGTTAACTGAGTTCACTATAAAGTGATTAATCGATATAATGATGGAGGGATTTAGGGAGGACGTTCGGACAAAGTAAGCTTGTATAGAACTTTTAAATAGAGTGTGCACGAGGAGAAACAGGCGGCTGCATGCATTTAATAGGCGTTTCCTCCCGGTAGCGGGTACAGGGTTGTGCATGTGCATTTTTTTTTAAAGTGTAGAGGGCAGCTATTTCTAAAAATTCGCAAAAATCCTCCTTAATGTCTTTATTGAAAAGTGCTTTTTTTTCATTAGGATAATACAACAAAATATCTTGAACTGCGCCCTAGTTACCAGGATTTAAGTTTTGTTCTTAATCACCAACAAGTAGCCAGTTCAGTGAAAACCAGAGATTGGATGCTGAGATATTGCTGCACCTCCTTTTCTGAAATACAAATGTTCAAATAATTAGTTTATACTTGGAATATTTGTAAATTTTTTGTAGGAATGGCAGCCATAGTGAGAATTAAAGGCAGGGAATACTCCTGATCTCTAAAGTCAGAGTACCAACCTTAAGAAGCATTGTGGTAGAAGTAGATCCCATAGTGTTTATGTCTAGGTTTGTTTTGCTCCACAATTACAGGTCAGCAGAGAAAGGACGTAACGGTACATTTAGGACGCAGAAAAAAAAAGTTAAACATTTCCTCCTGGCAGATAGATTAAGGTTTCTGGTATTACAGGCTAACAAAGAAACAAAACGACCCCCATTCCAAAGGGTCGGATCGCTCGTCTGGTTTAATTAACATGTTTTCTAAACCAAAACAAGGCTTTGCTTTGGTCCACCCTATAAAACCTGGAACTCAACGCTTTTTCTGAAATTTTGAATTGAAAAAGCTTCCTGGATGGGAAGAAAAACGTCTTTAAACTTTTAAAAAAACTCCATTGGATTGATTTTTGTAACTATTTTGGATAGATTAAAGGTCTACAAACCATAGAATGATATGAAACTAGAGAAACTCACCTTTCTAATGATGTGAAGCACGTTCTGTAGCACCTTGTTCACCGCTCCACACCAAGAAACCAAAGAACTACAAAGCTTTAGATCAAAAATAGCTTTCTGCTTCTTTTTCTCAAAGATATATCATTTATAAAACATGCTTTGATTTATGTTTTACTCATTTTACTTGACTTATTTAACCGTGCAAAGCACATATAACCCTCTAACAGCCCATATAACAGCAAGCGTATCATAGATATTACGCAAGTTTCAAAGACATCTATCAGCTCGTTTGTTTTTTTTTTAACCTGATGTTTATTCAGAAACATTAACAAAAAAGTTTAAAGCTGAAGGTGTCACAAAATTATACAAATTCAAACTTCTATGTTTGACATAGAAACACAACTTATCTTTGTGCTTTACCGTTAATCCAGAATCACCCAAGTTTTTTTTTTTTCTACATTTAGTTAAAAAAAAAGGATCTAATTCGTTTTTTTTATTATTTTTTTTTTTTATTCCTTTCTGTTCACGGTTCTAAATTTTGATGATAAACAGTGTAAATGTTCTACAGTGGAAATCAGCTTTAATTAAACCATCTTATGTTAAAACATTAAAAAGAAAAATGGGGTTGTTTTGGGCTCCTAAAATAGCCGCTCAGCCTGGTCGATTAATTCACTAAAACTTCAGGTGAATAAATTAGATAAAGTTCTAGCAGCGGTGGTGATTTATAGAGTCTGAGGCGTCTGTTCGGTTTTTAAAAAGGATTTTCAGGTGTTTCACAGTTGATTCAGAATCAGAAAAACAAAGCCAGGATCAGATCAGAGGTTTCCCATATTTAATCACCAATAAATCAGATAAAGCAGCAGGTCCACTTTATTGATATGTTTTTATCTCAAACCTTTACACAGCCACCAACTGTTAGCATTTAGAGCTAATAACTGGATTGATTGATTGACTTTATAGATCTCACATTGGTGAAATTTACTCCTTAAATCAGTTCAAATAGTCAAAGAAGAAGAAGGTGCATGGGATAAATATACAGTATATACTAGGAATCAGAATCAGGGTTGCACCGATGCCGACAACAGTATAGGGCGTGGCAGCGATCCAGCACTTAAAATGGTTTTATCGGTATCTGTGAGCACCAACTAATAGGGCACCGATACCATTCTGAGAGCCAAAAGTTTCTTCAACTATTGTCACCCATTCCAGGTAGGCAATAAAAAGTTCTAATGGATTCACTTTGTTTTAGTCTTTTTCCTGCTTCACAAAGGTAGGCAGCAGCTTGACATGAAGCCATGATGGCAATTATTTTACATCCAAGTTGTATGAAGTTCTTCATATATACACACTAGAGACTGACATTTTTTCTGGAATCCCACGGGTCACGGGATTCCCGTGGGATGGGAGTCAGTATTAGTAACAATCACGTGACAGGATAAAACATTAACGGGAGCAGACGGGAGCGGTAGCAAACCAATAGTAACTAAAAAAAAATTAGGATTGATGCCAAAAAATAAAGTAGAAAAAAAATCCAGTGCTGGCGCCGCCATTTTGTAGTTTTTTTCCTTGAAGTCTACACTATAATGCGAGTCAAAAAAACTACACGACCCAAAAACCAACAGTGCTTCCGATCTGAGTTTTTCACCCGCGCTCAAAAGAAATTCAGATTCAGTGTATTGGCAGAAATCTTATTGAAGACAACAAGAATGGGAGCGGTGCAGGAGCGGGAGTCATTCTGAATGGGAGTGGGAAGGGACAGGATTTAGATTTCTACTCTGGCTCGGGATCGGGACGGGACAGGAGTGAAAATCCACTCCCGTGTC